ATGCTCCAGGCTCATCCTGGAACAGGTACAGGACCCAAGAATTAATACTTAATTCTTGGGGAATTAACTATTATATTATACTTAATATAATACTCCCCAGGTCTATCACTGCTGCCCCAAAAGGTAAGATTTCTTTCTCTTTTATGGCCAAGTGGTATTTCACTATGTAAATGTACCACCGCTTTTTTATCCACTCACTCACTGATGGTCATGTGGGCTGCTTCCAAATCTTGACTATTGTAAATAATGCTGCAGTGAACATAGGGTGCATATATTCTTTCAGATTAGTGTTTCAAGTTTCTTCAGATGTATTCCCAGCAGTGGAATCTTTAGGTCAAAGGGGAGTTCCATTTTTAATTTTTTGAGGTAACTCCATATCGTTTGCCATAGTGGCTATGCCGGTCTGCATTCCCACCAACAGGGCATGAGGGTTCCCTTTTCTCCACAACCTCTCCAGCACTTGTTGTTTGTTGATTTATTGATTATAGCCATTCTGACAGGAGTGAGATGATATCTCATTATGGTTTTAATTTTCATTTATCTGATGATTAGTGACATTAAGCATATTTTCATATGTCTATTGGCCATCTCTATGTCTTCTTTGGAGAAGTGCCTATTTAGATCCTTTGCCCACTTTTAAATTGGATTGTTCAGGAGGTTTTCTGGTGCTGAGTGTTATAAGTTCTTTATAAATTTTGGTATCATTTGATGATACCAAATCTCATTGATGGTATCGATGAGATGTATCATTGATTAATGTGTTCTCCCATTCACTACATTGTCATTTCATTTTGTTGATGGTTTCCTTTGCTGTGCAAAAGCTTTTTTAGTTTGATATAGTCCCTTTTGTTTATTTTTTATTTTGTTTCCCTACTCAGAGGAGATATATCCAAAAAATATATTGCTATGGGTAACATCTAAGATTTTATCGCCTTTGTTCTCTTCATGGATTTTGATGGTTTTGAGTGTAACATTTAAGTCTTTAATCCATTTTGAGTTTATTCTTGTGTATAGTGTAAGAAGGTGGTCTAGTTTCATTTTTTTCATGTTTGTCCAACTTCCCAGCACCACTTATTGAATAGACTATCTTTATCCTATTGTATGTTTTTGCCTCCTTTATCACATATTAATTGGCAGTGAAGGCGTGGGTTTATTTCTGGGCTCTCTATTCTGTTCCATTGAGCTATATATGTTTTTATAGCAATACCATGCTATTTTGATTATTATGGCCTTGTGGTGTAGTTTGATACTAGGTGGCATATTTCTTCCATCTTTGCTCTTCTTTCTTAAGATTACTGTGGCTGTTTGGGGTCTTTTGTGGTTCCACATAAATTTTTGGAATATTTTCCTTCTGTGAACATAATATTCAATTCATTTGGATAAATACCTAGGGAGTTTGATTGATAAGTTTTTGTTTAACTTTGTAAGAAACTGCCAAACTGCAAAGAAAGAAGATCAACCTATAGATTAAGTCCATTAACATGGTATATATATATTTTTTTATATCTTCTTGATGATTTTATCTGTTTTATGATTGTCAGTATATAGATTCTACACATATTTGGTTAGATCTAAACTTGCTTAATTCTTCATGCTATTAAAAATTTTTTAAATTATTTTTTATTGCTGTCTTGTAACACTATTAATGACTTCTGTATATTTATTTTATATACTGGAAACTTTCTAAATGTGTTTTTAAAGAAAAAAGAAACAATCTGTCAATTCTCACTGATTAATAATGTTCCTAATTCAAAACAAATTTGGAAAATATGTTTGAAAAATAAACATATAAAATATCTCATATGATTAACAGTTCTTACAGAGGGAAAAAACCCCACAAATAGCTCCTAAACATAAGAAAAGATGCTCAACCAGCTTGACATAAGGTAAATAGAAACTGAAACTATATTGAGAAATCATTTTCCATCTTGCGGATTGGCAAAAATGAAACAGTTTAATAACATAGTTCCTGGCTAGGCAGTGGGGCAAAGGCATTCTTCATTACATGAGCCTGTGTGGAAGGCCATTGGGCAATATCCAGCAAAATTACAAAAACAATCTGAAGGAATGTATTCATTTAGATATTTTTGAAAACATGCAAATAACATGTATAAGATTATGAATTATAGGATGTTTAGAATAGAAAAATGAAACAATTTATATCTATACTAAGTTGGCTAAATTTGTTACATTATGCAATACTGTGCAGTCATAGAAATAGATCTTTAATATATATTATCAAATTTTACAAAGTACCAAAGCAGCGTGAGAAGAAAAAGAACATAGTCCATGTGTATATTAGTATGTATATACATTCGATATCCCCGGAATATACGGCTGTAGCATTGGTTACCTCTGGGGGAGGCAACTGGGAGCCCGCCCGAGAGGGCTGAGAGGAAAGTGTGTTGCTGTTTTTTTTACACTTTTGGAGTTTTGAAATTTGAGATTAAGAATCAGATCTTACATCTGCACATTTCCAAAACTATAAGAAATAATTTCTCAAACTCTCCAAATCTTTCAAAAGGAAACACTGGTGGTTTTGAAGCCATTTGTTAAAAATATAAGACTGTCATAATTTCCAATTAACTTGTAAGAGATTGATGATTGAAAAAACAAAAATTATTAGGTAAATTTCAACAGAACATTTGCATAATTGGTAGATAGAATTTAAGAATACAATGATTATTGTTGCAGAGTCTAATAAATTTCTGCTTAATCCACATATCACAATGAAAATCACTTTGAAAGGTGCCATTAAATTTGAGCACGAAAATAAAGAGACCTTGAAACTAGCCCTTTAATTATTGATCCAAAAACTGTTTAACTAAAGTTTTCAAGAGTATGGAATAGGATAATAAATCTTATTCAATCGTGTCTATCCCACTAAAATTTTATTGATAACAACAACTTAATTATAGCCAGGCATTTTTGGCTGTTAATAAAAAATTTAAATGTTAATTTCATGTCTATCTCATCCTTTTTGAATTTTAGTTTGCTGTTTATCTATAATTTAAGTAACATTAGTACAGAGATACATGAGTGTAGCTTACCTACTGAGAGCACATGCTCAACTTTATTGATGGGATTTGTGGTCGGTTTGGAGACAGATGCTGTAAAGAAGAGCTCTCCCTTGGATGGGAGGTTCTGGCTGCACTGAGTAGTGAGGAGGGCTGCTAGGGAAGAAATAAAGAGGTAGGAAGGCCCAGATTGTAGTGATCCCCTCAGTCCCAAGAATGGAATTCTAGAATCTCTAGGCAGTTGGAGACAAAAGAGCTAAGAATTCTTCTTTCTCTAAGGCTCTATAGAAAGGGTCTTGGTTAAAGGCAGGATCCCTCGTGCCTGGGAAGAATTAGAAATATCTTCATGGGATGCAGGAAACTCGTGGGCGATGCCCAGCACTAACTGAGTAAGTAGAACAGTATTTCTTCCACAAATTCACCTGAGCAATACCTTTGGGGCAGACCTCAGGAATCTGTCTTTAATAAAACCTAAATTACTCTGATGAAGTCACCTGCCCAAAGGACCATCAATGTCAACCTCTGGCTTGAGGGGTGTAAAACATTGTGCTTGGGGCTGCCATCACTATGGGGTTTTGTATGGTTCAATTTCATTTGTTTGAGCCCAGTAAGATTTTAAGGCAGGAGATGGAAACCAATTTAACGGGTAAGCTCTGCATCTTATACCTTGTTCGTCTCCCTCTCAATGTCTGGCCCAATACTAGGGCGCAGCTCAGTGCTGTGTACCAGGAACTCTTTCTTTAAAGGGTCAGATTATCTTTTAGGCCTTGTGGTTCCTACAGTCTCTAACAAAACCATTCGGCTCTGCCATTGTAGTAAGAAGAAGGCAGCTATACACAATGCATGGCTGAATAGGCATAGCTATGCCCCAGTAAAAGCAGGTGGGTTTTGCTGATCCTTGCTACTGACCGGCATGTGTTCCACATACCTGATGACATGTATTTACCTTCCTTATTGTGTAGGTACTTTAAGGCCCCTCAGAAACTCTCCCTCCCTCTGGCTTTGCCAAACACTCAGCCCTGTTTTTAGCTTCACCTGTCAGCTGGGGAACCTGAGGAGAAACCTATAATTTTAGGAATTTCAAGGCAGGTGCAGAAAATGATATGGCAGGGAAATATGTAAGAATATCATATTTGGTATCACAAGCAGTTATCAGAAATTTCCCTCCACTGCCATCCCAGCAAGGTCCTTATGTGTGGGGAAGACAGATTACTTTGGTAGAGAAAGCGCTTCTGGAAAACTAGGGACTGATGAGGGATGGCACTATTGATCCTAATCCCACTGTAAACAATTCGGAGAGGATTCCTTTATGGCCCTTCTATTTCCAACACCCTACACTTTCCTCTTCTTGTGACCCATCGTCCTCTGTCCCCCTCCTACTCATCAGTTGACACCAGACTTGTAGGAGGCCCCATGAAACAGTGGTGGAGCAGTCCCCCAAATATATTGCAGTCGTGATGTAAGACATATTTTTGAATGAATGCTCCCACATTTGGAAAAGAATCAAGAAAAAAGAATGGAAGAAAGCTAAGGTGCTGAAACTCCTCCCTTCTCTCAACCCTCAGACAGTAAATCGTGAAGTTGTCTTCACAGACCCATGTATATCTCCTCTGTGGCTGGAATTAAGTGTCTGTTTCTACACCTCTAGGGAACGCCTAGCTTTTTGTAGTCTGTTTTTTTTTCTATTGATAAAATTAATGAGAATCCTAGAATGTATGAGCCTCCGTGGTTCCCAGCTGGGTGGATCCAGGAGGACTGAACTCTTTGCTTGCCTGATCCTAGCAACAGAGCCTTTACTTGAAGGTAAGCATTCGGCAAAGAGCTGCACTCACTCCTTCCCCAGGCTGGGTCCTCTGTGCTTCGCTGTTCCCTGATTCTGGCCTTCAACACCTGCGGCCGGCAGATTTTGAAGTTCTCATTGGTGACAGACTTAACCTCAGGACAAAGCAAGATTGTCTGACCTGGTCTTCTAATTTTTGACAGGTTCTGCCTTCCACGGGCCCCAGGATGAAGGCTGCCAGCATCTTGGCCCTGATTGGCTGTCTGGCCACAGTCACTGAGCCCAAAATCTACCCTCGCTGTAAACTGGCAAAGATATTGTTGAGGGCTGGCATGGACAATTTCCAGGGCTTTAGCCTTGAAAACTGTGAGATTTCTCCCTTCCTTTTCTCTTTCTACCCTTGATCTCACCCCGCAGAATGTCAAAGGCCCCTTCTAGGTACACTCCCATTTATTTACTCCCAGATTTTCCATACTCTGCTCCACCAGGGATGGCCACTAGGTGCTCACATGTTCCCATCAACTCCTCCTCCCTGGGGCCCCACTGCTTTACCACTGCCCCTCATGTCCCAACTTCTGGAGTCCTGTACCAATGACACTTGAAAGGGAAGGAGAAAATGATGCCACCCTTGCTGGCATCATGAGGGTGGGCCTGACTTTTAGAGGAATCCAGATAAGCCACTGACTAGGTGTGGAGTTTTAGATGTGCATCCCTGCCCGTCATGTGCCCCCCAGTTGTGCCACTGGCCCTGACCTTCCCCAGGGTTTGTTTGGAGCAGAGCACTCTTGTAGCATATATAAGGGAACTCTCTCCTAAGAGCAGGGTTAAAAGAAACAATGCCTTTCTTTCTCCGGCATTTCTAACTTTTCCCTTCTAGGGAGCTGCATGGCATACTATGAGAGCCGCTACAACACCACAGCTCAGAAGGTGCTGAAGGACGGAAGCATCGACTACGGCATCTTTCAGATAAACAGTTACATGTGGTGCCGACGTGCGGAACTAGAAGAGATGAACTACTGTCGTGTTGCCTGCTCCGGTATGGTTTCGGTTTTCATCCTCAGGGACAGAGCCATGAAAGCTGATAATGGAATAGCCACCCATTTTCTGAATTAGCTAAAATTTGCAGTTCAGATGTGCAGTTAGGTTTACACCAGGCCGATAGATTATTCAACAGTCCCCCGAGGTGACACTCTGGATCCTATGGCCTGGTCAACAGATGATTTATTCCCTCTAGGATAATTTTTATAATGCCCACCATGAAGACAGTGGGACAGACAAATGACCTTACTACCTTTTCATGGATAGAGATAATAAATATCTTCAGTAAAAAGGAGGAAGCTATTTGTCAACCCATTTCCACGAGCAATTCACTCAAAGGATACAGTCTATGCCTCTTTATGCAGAAGGAGACATATAAATACAGTTCACGTCATGTTTTACAATAGTATAAACAAAGCTACAATTCACTTCCAAATCTTCTACTTTAATAATTTAAGAAATATAGACGTGCACAGAATTGAGGATAGCAAGACAAATCAGACATGAATTCTGGCATTAGGGAAAGAACCCATGTTTATGTGAAGTTACTTGCAACATTATCAGCATATGTGGGTTGAATAATGTGGGTTTCAGTGGAAAGAGATATTATTAAGAAAATCATGAAGTTTTGTAGACACAGTGATATTTGATCTAGGACTTGGAGGATAGACAAGATTTGGATATTCAGAGATAGAGCAGAGTCATTCCAGGTAAGGAAGATGGCAAAGGCAAAGAGGTGCACGGGGAGGATGTGTGGGCATAAGCGGGGAGAGGTGAGACATCTGTCCTCTGTGGAGCAAGGGGGACATGAAAACAAATAACAGGTCATGTGGTTGGAAAGGCTGATGACTCTCTGACTATAAAGGACCTTGGAAGCCAAGCTAAGGAGCATGTACTGATTCCTGCCTGCAGTAGGAAATCAATAAAAGTTAGTTAATGAAGCATTGTTTCGGAAAAATTGACCTGCAAGCAGAGTGTGAGAGACATTAAAGAAGGCACCAATTAGGTGCTACTGCCATTGCTGAGGTGAGAGATTGAAAGACCTGAGGATGGTCGTGGATGGGAGCGTGGAGAAGAGACTGATGTAAGAGGTATTCAGGAGCAGAACGACAGATCTCAGTACATGATCGTCTCTTCTGAGTTCCCTCTAGAATGTAAGTTTAATGAATGCAGGAGTTTTATCTGTTTTGATGATTGATGTCTCCTCAGTGCTTAGAATGGTACCTGGCCATTGTTGGAGATCAATAACTATTTATTAAGTAAATGGATGGTAGAAATGAGAAGCAAGGATGGAGACAGAATCATATGGCAAATTCTTTAGGAGCAGGAAATAAAACTTTTAATTTCCCTTTGACATATACAAGATGATCAGTACATATGTTTGAATGTATAAATGATTGAACAATATGGTAATTTATCTAGAAAATTGTCCCTAGCCCTACATTAATACAGGATGCTCACTGTGTTCAGAGGCAGATCACCTGATCATTGCTCAGCCCTTAATTTAGAACATGCTTTTGTTGGACCAAAATCTATATCCGTTTAGCTTATTTCCATTAATCCTAGTTTTTCCTTCTGAATTTCTTCAAAACAAATTTGTTCTTTTCTATACATAGAAAGTTATTGAATATTTGAAGATGATTAGTAGACATTTCTCATATTCAATTTTGTATCTTCTGGGCTAAAACGTTCCTTATCTATTTTCACCCTCCTGCAGGTATGACTTTTAAACTCCTCCTCATCCTAGTCAGTCTCATTAGCACTCCCTCAGTTTGCCAATGAAGTCTTCCCTTTGAACATGGCCATTGGACTTGGGCACTACCTCCAATGATAGTTCCCATAATGGCTTCCCAGAACACCCATTTTCTAATCCCTGAAGCCTGTAAATAGTGCACCTTACATGGCCAAAGGGGCCTTGCAAATGTGAATAAAGGTATTGACCTTGAGTGGAGGAAGTTATTCTAGGTTATCTGGGTGGATCTGATCTGAATTCGAGTCCTTAAAAATGGAGATTTTTTCCCAGATGTGGTTAGAGAAAGATTTGATGAAAAAAGAAGGAGGAAGGGAGCTTCAAAATATGAGGTACTCAACCCACCATTGCTAGCTTGTTAAGATGGGAAAAGGTGGCCAAAGGCACAGAATTTAGGGGGCCTATAGAAGCTGGAAATGACCCTTAGCCGACATCCAGCCCTTAGGAAGGAACCTCAGTACTACAACCACAAGGAATTGAATTTTGCCAACACCAAAATAAGCAACCCAAATGGATCCTTCCCTAGAACATCCAGAAAGCAAAACACCCTTGCCAGGTACATAGACATTGAGGACTGTTGTGTCTTCTTGATGTAGCGAGCCTTTTACCATTAGAGTCAATGTCCCTCCTTGCGTTTGGTAATATTTCTTATCCTCTAATCTACTTTGTCTGGCAGTAATATAGCCACTTAACTTTCTTTACACAGTATATTTCTTTAACTTTTAACCTATTTGTATATTTATAGCTATAGTGAGTTACTTATAGACAGCATGTGGTTAGGTGTTGCTGTTATAGCCAAGTTAATAAGCTCTGCTTTTCAATAGGAAGGTTTGAAACAGAGGTCAATGAACTTTGTCTTAAAGTGCTCAGTAGTAAATATTTTAGGCTTTGTGGACCATATTCTGTCTCCATTATAGCTATTCAACTTTCCATGCAATACAAAAACAGTCACAGATAATATGTAAATGAATGGACATGGCTATGTTCCAATAAAACTTTATTTACAAAAACACAAGGTGGGCCCATGGATCATAGTTTGCTGAACCTTGGTTTAGACCATGTATATTGAATGCATTATTGTATGGTTACTTCAGAATCTACCATGTTGAATGGAAGTCTACTAGTAAGCATTCTCTTAGATTTTGTTTATCTGAAAATGTCATTTTCTTTTCTTCTTTGAGTAATATTTTCCCTCTGTGGTCTAGACTGACAAATGTTTTCTTCTCAATATGTTAAAGATGCCCTGTTGTCTTCTGTTTGACTTGTTTATTGTAAAAAAAATAGTGATTAAAAAAAATCTGTGTTCCCATTTGTAAAGTATACTATTTCCTTTAGCTGCTCTTAAGATTTTCTTTTTAGCATCAATTTACCAGCAATTTAATCATAATGTACAAGGTATATATGGAAAAAGTTCAGCCATTGTTAATAAAATGACAACGGTTTACCCAACATCAGTGTAACCTGCAGCCAAGGAGAGTGGGCTGGAATGTGCGTGTGTGAACAACTTCACTGTACTAGTCAGTCGGGGCAGCAGACCCCATTGACTGGGCATATGCACTGTGTGGCTGTCTCATTCCAAGTGACTGAGCAAGTAGAGCAATGAATCTGTATCAAATTTGCATTAAGCTTCAATATTCCTCCATGGAAACTATTCAGATGATTCAGAAGGCCACAACCATGGGCCACTGGTGATTGGCAGCTTGGTCATGACAACTTGCCGGCCCATGCATCACGTCTCATGAAGTTTTTTAGCAAAAAAAAAAAAAAACATCAAGTCACCCAAGTGACTCAGCTCCCTTACAGCCCAGATTTGGCACCCTGTGACTTCTGGCTCGTCTCCACACTAAAATCACCTTTGAAAGGGAAGAGATTTCAGACCATCAATAAGATTCATGAAAATAGGATGGGGCAGCTAATGATGATTGGGAGAACTGTCTGAGGTCCCAAGGTGCCTACTTTGAAGGGAACTGAGGCATCATTGCACTATGTACAGTGTTTCTTATATCTTGTATCTTCTTCAATAAATGTATTTATTTCTCACAGTGTGTAGCTGGATACATTCTGGACATGCCTGGCATATTTTCTTGTGTTTATCTTTTTGATACTCATTAACATTATGAATCCCTGAGATTATAATTTTCATTTTTTCTCCTAAAACTATAATGACATTTTAGATCACTTGATGCTAGGTCACTAAGGCTCTTCATTTCCCCCCCCTTTAGTATTTTATTTTAAGTAGTCTTCATTACTATATCTTCAAGTTCTCTGATCCTTTTTTCTGAAATGCCTAATGTGTTAAATTCATCAACTGAATGTTTCATTTCAGATACTGCCGTTTTTTTCAGTGCTAGTTAATTGTTTCATGTTTCATTTTCTCACTTTATTCATGTTTTTCTTTAAGTCCTTGATATAATAAATAAACATTTTTATTAGTACTGTTTTAAATTTGCTGTTTGCTAATTCAATCCAGTATGTCATTTCTGAATGTTTTCCATTGACTAATCTTTCTCCTAGTCAAGGTTTACATTTTCATGCTTCTTTGCACATCTAATATCTTTGTATTGGATACTGGACATAGTATATGTTACTTTGCTGAGCATCTGGATTCTGTTGTCTTCCTTTGGGGAATGTTGAGTTTCACCCTAGCAAGCAGTTAATTCTAATCAGGAAAGTTCTAGAATTGTCTTTGTGGTAGAACTACTTTAGTCTTCCTACCAAGGCAAGCCTTCTCTAGTGTCTTTTTGGACTGTCCTGGGTGTTTGGCAAGGTTTCTCTCCTCTTTCTGGTTGTAAATTAAGTGCCTCCCAGTTTGAGCTCTGTAACTGTTCAGGTCCCTCGTAATTGTTCACTGATTACCTTGAGGAGTTTTACCCTTTGCATGCCCAGTGTAGCCTTCAGCTAAAGTCTCAGAGGAATTCTTTTGTTTTTTCTTTTTTATTTACAGTTAACACACACCATCATATCAGTTTCAGGTATACAACATAGTGATTAGGCGTTTATATATCTTACAAAGTGATCACCCCATAAGTCTGAATCTGGAAAAGTCAGCCTTTGTGCTGCCTGTCACTACCAGAACCAATAAGTAGAGACAAGGATTCAATCTTTATGGGCACTTGAATCAGATGCCTCTTTTTATAAGGAGAAGAGGTAGGGGAAAAGTAAGTAAAGGTTTTGGAATTCAGGGGAAATATTAATCAGATAAAGGCTGCAGTCTGATTTTCCTAACATCCCTTTATCTGCTGACCAGT